ATAACTTGAAACTCTGCTTGAATGATGCATACTAGAGTTAGCAGTATGAGTACATAAAAAATGTAGTTTCTTAGATCAAGGCAGGTTGTTTTGAAGGTCAGAGTTTGACTACTGAAGTCTTTGCAGAAAAATGTAATTGTCGAAAAGCATTTGGCTGAAAATAGTACTGATAGAAGTGTTGAAGGTTATTAATTGTATAAAATCAGTAGCACGCAGTTCTTGTTTGCAATAGATTATTTACAATTTTACATAAAGAAACTGTCAGCATATGTTGATGTCTTTTCTTCAATGTAAGGACAAAAGAGGTTTGAAAGGAAATTATTTTGCTCGTTTCTTTGAATTCAGACAAGAAGTTTGCTTTCTTATCAGCAAATATGAATCTAGAGGTAAATTAAAAATTTAGCATTGGCTATTCTTGGTGTTGCAGATTCCAACATTGAAATAATCATACTCAAAATCATCATGTCTTTAGCATGAGGATCTAAACCACAACTTAATATTTGCACACAGGATTTTAGTTCTGCCTGCTTTAAAACATTTTGTGTTTTGTATAAAAATGGCATTTCTTCTAAAAATGGCTAGGAAACATTTCAAGATGTACATGTAAAGATGCAAATTATAATTCTTGCTTCAGAAAATAATAAAGCCAAATATTTTGAACCATATTTTTTTCTTATTGCAATGTTAATATATCTTTTGCTGATTAGTAATTTAAGCAAAGATGACTTAGCTACCTAAGTTAATCTATTGAGTTTCTTTTTTAGAAAGAGAGATTGCTTTCAGTTGTACTGCTTAGGGATGAGAAGACATTATAATTAATTCACAACTTTATTTTCAATATCAATAGCTAACCCTAGTGATGTAAATCGTTTGTTAATAAAAAAATACTCATGAGTATTTTCTGTTTGTGGATAGAAGCTTACTAGACCAATAGCTAAATTGTAGTATCTGGACTACAAGTTATAATAAACAGTGACTAGAAAGAAGAAAATGAGGAATGACAGAAAAGTAATTAGGTACACCCACATTGGATAATGTTATTTTTGTAAATAATATCAGTCTTGTTGTCTGCTATTCTTCGAATTTTCTGTTTGCGTTCTCATTTTTTGTGCATGTTATAAGTGTGTGTACATAATTTCCATGATCATGTGTTAATAATTGATATTTTGTAATTGATAATTTTTAATGGATTCAATTTGCCTTTATTTGCATTACCTTATCCTTGTCACAGTCACCAGTTCGACGACTTCTGTGCTCTCACTAATTTATACCAGCTATAACAGCATCTTATTTTTTATTATTAGGTAAACTATTATTCCTATCTGACCTTAAAAAATTTAATTATTTATTTAAAAAAAATTATGATTTATCTTTTGGTTATTGCATACTAACTTTCAAAATAATCAAATATTCTACAATGGGTAGAGCCTTGTTGCTCAGGCCCTGGCATGTTTATGTCTACTTTAGCATTGCATCCAGGTTTGCTTAAAAAACAATTTTTTTTTTTAAATTCTTCTTTTCCATTATAAGACACGCATGCTTCTAATTTTTTTCCCTTATGTACACAGCAATCTGTTTTCACTAAAAAACACCAGAAAATTTCACAAACCACTTGAGGTTCCACCTCAGGACCAAAATCCCAAAGTAAAAAAGTAAAAAAAGGTGCATAATGCTTTTAAGTGAAACACATTGTGTTCTATTTGTGCAGAAAGCTGTCACAGATTTCACTGAAGGCACTAAAAATTACAGTATGCTGTCCTTCACTATGTTACACCTTTGGAATTCTGATGAGAGTGATCATAATCTGCAGTCATACTGCTGAAAAGATGTGGAAAGCTGTCTGGGGGAGATATTTAGGTTGCCACTTAACACATTTTGGTGGCATCATGGGTTGTGACAGAAATACTTTAATAGCAACATAGTGTTTTTTCTCATCAATACTTTTATCAGAGAAGTATGGATAATTAGGAAGTACCAAAAGTTTTATGTAATTTTATCATGCCATAATTTTAGACCACTGCCTAAGAAAATACCACTAGTGGATATCCAGCCACTTTTCACAATGTAGTACAGGTAGATGGACTTCTAACATTTAATTTAAAAATTCCTTCTAATTTTCCTATGTACTTCTTCTTTAATGACACATGGTTTTAAGGCTGTCTGAGTTCTGGAAGAGACTGAACTCTGATATTGTTTTACTTAATATTTTAATATTATATTAATTTTAGGAAGAGTACAATTTTTAATGCCTTAAAAACGATCTGTTTCACTTTATGAAGACTGTTAGTACTAAATCATACATCTAGCAATAAACATGAGTCAGTTAACATTTTAATGTGAATAGCATAATTCTAATCAAGCAAGAAATGTCTGGAATAATCATTTTGAATGAAAAAGGGTCTGTCTGACTTGAAGGTTGACAATAAAAGAATATTTCTTGATTCAAAACTAATTTCTTTAAGCCATTAATAATATAATTTACCATTCTGTCATCCATTCATCATTAAATGTTCATAATCATGTTTTACCATTCATCATTAAATTCTAAAAGCTTCTAACAGATCTGAATGAGGAGGACAGAATAATGCAGGATAAGGTAGATTTTACGCTCATTCTTTATTTCTCCTGCTTGTTTTCTGAGATCTGCCTATTATTCTGAGGATCTGTCTGAGGAATTATTACAGTTTCTTGGGCATGCTGTTGTTTTATAAGTGGATGGAATGTCCATCTAGCAAATGGAAGATCCATAGTTTGAATCCTCACAAATGCACAGTGATTTTTCATGTTTCCAGCTACAAAAAGTTAATTGTATGTAAAGTGGTATGCGAGAATTCATCTGGATTTGATTGACTGGGTTTTCTGCCTTTTTTCCATTTCTCTTTTTAAGTGGAGGAGAATATAAAGAATTACTGTATTTCCCCATGTGTACTCTCATGCTATAAGTGGTTAACACATCTAGTAAATAACTAGAAGATCTATGGTTCAAATTCTGATGAGGGCCTAATTTTTTCATATTTTCAGTTCAAGGGGATGATTTTGGTAATTAATACCATTTACATAAGTGACTAGGCTAAGGTATGGTTTTAAATATGAAAACTGTAGCCTTGTTGAATGAAAGTAATTTTTATGGATACTTGTATTAGCACGACCATCCTTGCAGATGTCGCTAAATTTTTAGAATTAGCCAATGCAATGGGAGAAGTAAGGGTAAAATTTCTGTAGGACAAATGCAGTATTACACAAAATCGTGGAAGGGAACAACTACTGAGCTTTTCATAAAGGGACTGATATGAAAATCCCTCCCCCCCCGAAACAGAAGAAATAAAAACTCAATTGCAAGTAAGTAAGTTGATTCATTTTCATGATAAATATGTAATGAAAATATAAAATGAGTATTTTCTGGAGCAGTATAAGTCATCTTTTTTTTTAATGTAAAAAATCAAACTGCACTGAAGTGATTGTGCTAATATGTGCCTTTATATGTATTAATTTTTAGTAAGTTATTTTTATTAATTATATGTTTTAATTTTATGCTTATATATTATATTTTTAGGATAAGCATTTTTCCTTTCTCATTTCGGGTTTTGTTAAGAAAAATACTCATAAATTCATATTTTTTGTTTTCATCAAATATTTTCCACTGATATTTGCAACTGTATTTTATGGCTGTTGATTAGTCTTCATTAATAATACAGTAAAAAATTGTATGTATTTGCTTCTTTGAATCAAAAACATAATAGAATTTTATTTGTATATGAATGCTTTATATTAAATGAAAAACATTTGCATGGTTTTTATTGAATGGAAAGCATTCATATGCTTCATATAAATACAGTGTACTTTCAATTATCTGAGAAAATGCTTTAGAAGCAGGTTAATGATAATCCAAACTATCAATTGTCATGCCAATTGTACTTGTTTATTTCTTAAAAAATCTGATGTGACTTCTTTGTACAATGTATTAAGTTATATAAATTTTTTGTTGCACTTCATTTAAACTTATTTTCTCAAATTATTCTAATTTAATTAACCAATTCCTCCAGGCAAGTTGAAAATGACATAAAAAATTGCAAATTTTAAAATTAAATATCCCGCTCAACTTTTCAACTCAACTCTCAACTTTTCAACCGCTCAACTCAGGAGACAGATTTCTTCTAATTTTATTTTTTCATAACGAATATAAAGCTTTCCCAAATATAAGTATAGGAACCAGGAAACCACATAAAAGCTAGGTTTAGTTCTTTTTGAAAATTAACTTTTTTAAAAATTTGACATTGGCAAAAGATTAATACATACACACACACACACCACACACACACACACACATATATATATATACACACACACACACACATATATATATATATTCATTTAAAACACTTCTGTAATTGGAAAAAAAAATGTGATACTATTATATATATATATATATAATTAAAGAAAGGAGAACAAACTAAAAAAGATCCATATATATATATATATATATATATATATATTATTATAATAAAAGATGAATACTCCTATTAAAATTCTTATATTTCAAGTTAAATTAAGGAATCTTACAAAGTAAAAGAATTACAATTTGAATCAGAAGAAAATATGCACAAAAATATGTAGAAACAGAAAAATCCCTCTGATCAACTGAAATGATGTCTTCAGTTATGCACATGCAGAAGAAATTGCATGAAATAATTGTTGAAACTAAACCTGAAGATGGAAATTCAGAAGTTTTTAGACCAAGTGTGGACTTGTGCAGGTTTGTTTTTTACATAATCTCTTGCATAATGCTGAGTGTGCATCCCCAGGCTCCACCATGCGCGGATTACATACGAACTGAATAATCCACATCCGGATAATTTGTATGTTGCTTTGCATTAAGTATTTTTTGTTTGAATAAAAGTATTTAAGAAGGTATAAATGCAGTAAACAATTCCTCTGTATACATATTTTAATTTTATGTAATTAACAACATTAATTTTAATTGTTTTTGTAATTTATTTTAGGTGGGTTCAGTAATTGTTCATTGTTCTCAAAACTATCATTTGGTTTATTAACTAGTATAAAGCAAGAAACAGTTGGGAAACATTCATTTTTTCTGCTTTGTAACAAAGATAAGCCATTTAAAACGTTCATGATTTGCAATTACAATGAAGAGACCCTGAATGAGATGCAGGTAATTATTAAAAAACGGATAATAATATATGTTGCATTCTATGTGCTATGTGTTATGTCTTTCTTTCTTTTTTATAAAGTTAACAAAAAGAATTTCATTGTTTGAGCTAAGATTTCTAAATTTAAATATAATTTTGTTTTAATATTCTTTGCTTACATGTAAATCATTTTATGTAGTGTCAAGATTATTTCTCATATGCTATCAAAATATTAATAATCATATTTTCTAAAATAGAATAAATTGCATGACAAATGTTATATCATAATTAGTAGCTAGGATTACAGTTGTAAACACTATATTGGTTGTTACACATTCAGTGTCCAATGCTTTGACTTGGATTGTCAATAAAAAAATGCACCTAGCTTAAACAAATCCATAAACTTTTATTGTGATTATGAAATGTTACATGGTATAATTATACCTGTTAATTATATTTAAATTTTTATTTCACTGTTAATTGTTTCAAATATGCATTGGGTTTACTGTTAATTTTTTAAAAGCATAATGTAAAATTAATATGTTGAGAATAGCCCAAAAGAGCTATTAGTCCTGAAACACGATTTTGTATTGTTTCGTTTTTCATTTGAGTCTATTGCAATTCGGAAAAACATAAGATATTATTCTTTCATATTTAATCTGTCTGTTATTAATCAACAAACTAAACTGTTTAAAAGCAATATATGCATATGTTGAAACTATCATTGTTTTACTTTTAATCTGATCGGTTAAAGTAAAAGTGTATTTAATTTATGATATATCTAATTAAAAACATTAAAAATATTTTTATAGGTCACTTTTTAAATATACTGAAAATATATTGTGCTCTTATGTTAGTCTAAATAAATATTCATCTAATATCCTACAAAATGTTTCACTATTCCACGAGAGTTGTCTTCCCTGATAAATCCCTGCTGATAAACCTTATTAAACTTAAAAGAGTCCTTTTGGCAATCGTTAAAATCTGAACCCTTTAAGATTTAAAAGAAAGTGCCAGGAATGTTAAGAATGGCATTGCAAGAGATTGAATATCGACTGGAAGACCACTAAACGATCTCATACTGAATATTAGTCATATTTCCTTGATTGAATATAAGTCACACTTCCTTGATTGACCCACAATAGATATTGAATATTCATAATGCCCAAACTGCTTATAAATTAGCACATGTATTTGAAAATGCATTTGGGTTGTTGCATAACTGTGTACTATTAATTGACAAATGGGCATGTTCTTTTTTTACTTTATTTAAGTAGTTTTAAAATACTAAAAATAAAAAGTTAATTAATGGAAAATTTAAAAAAAAAAAAAAAACTTTTAAGAAATCAGGTTTCCAAAAAGATCTATTTAAAATATGCATTTGTATGTTATTATCTATGTTAATAGATTTCTTTACTTTTTAGACTGTATGTCAGCAAGTTATTGATACATTATTCCGCCTTCTTAAAAAGCCTAGAGTTTGTTTTGGAGCTGGCTGTACTGAAATGTATCTAAGCAGTGTAGTAAAAGAAAAGGTAATTGCATTAAATTTAACTGCAAAGTGATTTCACATATTATTTTGCATCATTATTTTTTATTATTATTACATTATACAGTGGAAAGTTTGAAATAACTGGAATAACCACAAATTTGGACCTCCCATAATTAAAAAAAAAAAAAAAAAAAAAAAAAAAAAAAAAAAAAAAAAAAAAAAAAAAAAACTTTTTTTAAGCATAGTAAATGTAAAGTAAAGTAAACAGACTTTGGTTCTGATTAGTTGAATTTCTTTCTGTGCCAAAAATCTTATTGATAATATTGAACTAAATCTGCATTAAATTCCCCCCCCCTTCTTTAAGCAAAGTAAGTGTAAGTAAAGTAAAGGTAAACAGACTTTGGTTTTGATTAGCTGAATTTTCTTCTCTTTGCTAAAAAATATTATTCGTGATAATATTGAACTAACCTGCATGCTATTTTGTCTTTAAACATCTGCGAGGTAGTGAATTACATTTTCATTTTTGACTGTAGTAGTAGACTGTAGATAGATGTAGCTGTAGTGCATTGAATAGTCGACAATGATACCGTTGGGGTAGTTCGTGCCTGGCGAACAATCATCCTATCTTGCCTCACATTTGCGATCCTTGGACTTCCAGAGCCTTCATTTTGTCAGCAATTTCCTTGTAGCAACCATTGCTGCCAACAGCTTTGCACAGCAGTGTCTGTATGCTGCAGGTGGTGGCCTATTGCTTGGTATGACCACCCAGCTTCACGCAACCCTACAATGTGACCACGTTCAAAGTCGTTTAGTTGCCTGTAAGGTCTCCAATATCCTCGTAATGGCATCTTTAGTTGCTTCTTTACGGAATTACAATGGCAGCAGCAAAAAAAGAAATTTTCCACCTCTGTTAGTGGTTTTATACTTTGCGAATTGCACACTGGAAATGCGTGCTATGATCGCAATTCCTGTTCGTTTGCCTTGAAACTTTGGGAATTTTTTGATCATTTGCATGTCGATCAAGATGCTTTCGCATACCAAATTTCGTCACAATCGCAAAAGTTCTTCTTGGTGCTTTGATTTTTTTTGCAAAAGAGTGTATTTCAAGGAAATCAGCTAAGGTACCAGAAAATCGAGTCACGTAACTCCCTGTCCAGATTAAACTAGACAGACAATTGAAAATCAACGTTAGAAAAATAGCTCGCCCCGTAGAAAAGTAACCAGACTGTAAGAGCTTATTTCTGTTGTGATGTAAACTTATTTCCATCCATTTTACATGTACTTATTAAAAATAATGGTGTAAAGCATTTAAAAATAACAGAGGAACTCCAGTCAATGTTTAACTGAATTACAAGTTTACTGTGATTAGCTCAGTAACAGTATTGGCAATAGAAAATCAGATGACGTGTAAATGTATACATAACTGTCATGAATTTAAGTATGTGGTTGTATACAAGACAATGTTTGTAATTAACATATCCATGCTTATATGCAGGCCTTGTATGCCCATTTAATATTTACATATGGAAGAAATAATCTCTTCTGCCAGGATGACTATTAACACTGCAAGACTTTTACTACAGACTTTTACTACAGTCAGGTTGGTGGTTATCCCAGGTGGTGCTCAGGTGAAAAACCAAATGAATAGAAGAAAAAAATTTTGCATCTGTTAAAGTAATAAAAAGAGTCATTTTATATGTTATCAACTTGAATGTTAAACACCTACATTTAATTTAAATTGCATGAGGTTGTTGAAAGAAAAAAGGGCATTCCAGACATAAATGCCAAAGTAAAACATCACATTTGATTGCAAAATTCCATTGATCATGAAAATTGTCAGCGATTTTACCAAAGTTACGACAGGCATTCTGACAGAAGTTTAAAGGAACAGTTCACTCTTTACTTAGTTTACTAACATATACAAGTTATGGGCATAACATATAAAAACTTAAATCGCTTGTCATAATTTCTTACGTTGCACAGTCAGTGTTTATCCATTTTCACATAAATAATACTTTCTTTAATGATACTATGCTACTACAAGGGTGAAGCCCCTAGCTCCCTCGGGCAATGATTCAGCCATAAAACCTTTAGAGGCTAGCTCGACAAGACAAAAACGATCTAAAAAAATAAGAATAAACAGTTAAACATGTAATAAAATGACACATAAAGAAAAGAAAATAGATACACCTCATACACACATCTACTCCAACCAAATATATCTATACGTTGATAATATTCATCAGGCCACAGGTTTCAACAAAGTGAACATTGTCACCTGTTACTCTACATAGCCAATAAAGACTGGCAAGGCAAATTTATTCAAGTACATGGGAAAATGTCCATGTCTAAATTAAATTCTATCTCTTCTTGCGAGCTTAATTTTCCAATAACTCCACCAAGTCCCTAAATAAATATTCCAATTTCTCAAGCGATTTTTCATATAATAAGAACAAAAAGTTGTCAGCCATAACAAACAAAATCTACATTTTCCAAGTCAATATTGTATATTAACTTATTGGCGATGAGCCTCCAGAGCAGGGGTGCAGAACATGAGCCCTGTAGGCATCCCTTGAACAATTGACGTTTAGTCAGTACTTGTTCATTTTCATCCGTAGTACTTTCGTTATGTCAAGATCCCATAAATTTGAAAGTATTTTATTGCGTACTATTCCATTGAAGATAAGTCCCAAATTTTAACCATTTGTTCAGAATGAGATTGAGAAGCAGATAAATGTTAGTTAACTTACTTCATTTTTTACAGTTCGCTCTTTACTTAGCTTATTAACGTATACAAATTATGGGCATATAATATAAAAAACTTAAATCGCTTGTCATAATTTCTTATGTTGCACAGTCAGTGTTTATCCACTTTCACGTAAGTCGTACTTTTCTTGATGCCAGGATCCTGTAAATTTGAAAGTACTTTATTACATGCTGTTCTATTAAAGATAAGTCCCAAATTTTAACCATTTTTTCAGAATGCAATTCAGAAGCAGATAAATGTTAGTTAACTTGCTTCGTTTTTCACAGTTTACTCTTCATTTAGTTTATTGACGTATACAAGTTATGGGCATAACATGTAAAAAAACTTAAATCGCTTGTCATAATTTCTTATGTTACACAGTCAGTGTTTATCCATTTTCACTTAAGTCGTACTTTCCGTGACGTCAGGATCCCATAAATTTGAAAGTACTTTACTACATGCTGTCCTGTTGAAGATAAGTCCTAAATTTTAACCATTTTTTTCAAAATGCAATTGAAAAACAGATAAATGTTAGTTAACTTCCTTCTTATTTTTTCACAAAAACTAAACCAACTTGTCAAGAATTAATTAGATTTATATAAAGCCAAAGTATTATGTCATGCTTGTTCTTTATTGCCAATAATTATACTCTTTAATAACAGTTTTTATTTGATTTGAATCATGGCCCTATTCATGCTTTATAGCAGAAATACGAGTCTCTAATATGCCTGATTTTACATTTAAAAAAAGTTAAAAAAATTTTAAAATATACTAGCTGACTAATTGAATGCCAGGTAGTTGGGCTTTACATTACCTTAAAATTATTTTATGTTATAGTAATCACCCAATTTCATCATAATTTTATATTAATTATAATAGTCATAAGCAGGAAGTATTTTACACATCTAAATATATATGCTTCTGTAAATGAGATAATGTCAGTTTATTTCTTGCAGTTGAAACCAAAGAACTGTAAATTTGAATTTTGCTGAAGAATTTATTGTTTGCATCTTTTGCGTATACTAATCTCACAAATATAATATAAAGTCTTCATTTTACCATATTATGTATAAAGTCTTCATTTTACCATATTTCTGTACTGTATTTAATTTGTTATCTAAAAAGATCAAAATGAATCTCTTTCTGTAGGCCATTCATTTCATTACTGTTATCATTATTTTATTCAAGTTCTCTAGGAGTTTCATTAAATAAGACAATATTTTTTTACAATGTCTTTACATTCAGTGTATTTACATTCCAACTCCCTCATATAGAAGCACAAAAACATTTTTATTATTTTGGCATGTTACCTCCTTTTTTAATGTATAAGTGAATTGTAGATTGAATGTTAGGTATTTGTATCATTGCTTGTAGAAAAGCTTTTTTAATGTATAAAAATAAGCAATTTTAGTTATTCATTTATTTACTTTTAATTTAGGTAAAGGAAAGATTGGACGAAATTGTTAAAGAAACGGAATGTACACACACACAAGCCTTGGAAGCATTATATATTTTTCTGAAAAGTATAGTTGATGTTTCTGTATCAATTAATCAAGGTTCGTTATTGGGTTTCATTACTGAAACATCACATGCTCATTTATGGAAAATTCAAAATGGAAAATGTCCTGCAAATAATGATAAATGTATGTGTGGACAATATATTGCTACTGATGATCATTATGAATGGAAGTTTTTTCCTCCTTCTTTTAACAATTGGTTAGTTATGTCAGAGGAAAAGTTTATTGAAAAGAGTGAATCATGTAAAGGATCAATAATTTTAGATGAACTTAGTTGTAAAATCAGTGCATTTTCTGTGGCATTCGAAACAGCATCTCTTTTACTAAAGGTTTCATTGTGTGTATATCCATCTCTATAATTTAAAAGTGTAGGTAAACCTAAAGTTATCATTTTAAAATACATTTTGAGGCTAGAAGTTGATAATTTTCTACATGTAAAAAATGTCGTTTACTCTAAAACAATTAACATTCACATTATATATATATATATATATTTTCCTATGTAAAGATTGTATGTAATATGACTATGAAAAATAACTCCATGGTAATTTTGAATATTTTTACCAAGAAAGCTATAATTAAATCCTTTCAAAAGCTGTTCTGATTTTTAATTAAATTTTGCCTTTCACATTATGAGCATTTTATTCTTAAAATGTCAAAAACTATATTATGCCTTAATATTAATTTATGTTGGGAAATGTTTTAGTTTGAAAAAGTAAAAATTTTTGACCATGTACAACAAGTGATTTTATCATTTGGTTTTGTCTAAATTTACTCATTAATATTGCAAATGATAAGTGCACTTGTTTGAGAACTTATATATATTAATAGGAAGAAATATTGTAGCGAGCTTGCTAAAAAGTTACCAGGAGCTGTCGCTCCACGAAATAGTTCAACGCAGTATTAGTGAAATATATTAACATTTAGAAGAAATTAAAAAAAAAAAAAAATTATTAACATGGAAAAAAGAACTGCTTACACACGAAATAAAACTGTTTAAAATCAATGTTGGAAAACATGTGAATGCACGAAAAAACTAATCTGATCGTTGTGACATGTGAAAAGTTAATACATATAAAAATAGATCGACGGAACAAGTTAAAACAAAATAAAATTAAAAAATAATTAAAACATAAATAGCAAAAATTAAAATTAAAACATAAATTGCAAAATTACAAAAATTATAAAAATTACAAAGCGGAAAATGGTAAATTAGCCCAATCGGACCCTCAACCAGGCTTTTCAAGGGAAAAATAGTTGAATGTCGAACTAGGCCAAATACCATTACGCGTTTCGCCGAAACAGATCATTGAACTCTCTTTTTCTAAATATCTCTCTTTCTAGTTAACTTTAGTTGTTAGCAAAAAAAGACACCATTCTCTCTGCTAAACTTATATGTCTGCAAGTAAGATCATAATGTCAAATATGTATTTGTGTATTTTATGTACAAATTTATAATTTTTGGTGGGCATAGGCAGATTAGAATGAAGCCAGTAACCAGTTCCCATTTGAAATTCCCATTAGTAAACAGTTCCCATTTGAAAGGTGTATAGCCTAAAATACTTCATAAAAATTTCTGGAAGGACTGCATAATTATTCTTTGAATTTGTTACATAGACTGTTAGTAATGTAGGCATAGAGAACTGAAAATTAATATTGAGAGATTTACATAAATGCATTGTTTATTTCATAGTAGTACCTGAACTTTCACAAAGCTAGCTGTTGACCAGTTTAGTTGCTATGTTGAAACTTTTGGCTTTTGGAATTTTTTTCCCCCTCCAGAAATATCATTTTTCATTAACAATGTTTATCTTTCATTGGTAAAGGACTTTACATTAGTGATAATTTTATTTTTATGTTTAAAACATTTAAACTTTAGGAAGCTGAACAAAATTTGAAAAAATTCCAAGTATTTCTTTGTTTTTTTAATTCTAAGGATACTTTTTCATATAAAGTAAAGCCTAAAAATTCCACTTATTAATATTTTTTTATTTATTAAACTGTTAATTTATAACAAGTTTAACAGAAAATTTTCATAAAAAATATTCTCATCAATGTAATATGTACTTTATTTACTTTACTGTCTACTAAGCCAAATAATAACTCGAATGTCCTTTTTTATATTAAATTTTCAGTGTAATTTTGGAGTATGTCTGTGAATATGAAAATGCTGCTCTTTAATTATTGATCATTATATTAGTATTATAAATACCACATTCTTTTATTGGTACTTTTCCGTTTCGCCGGCGCAAATCTCACCAAGCAGACTTTATTGGCAACAACACACGGTGTTTACTTTCCTGTGTTTAGAATGGCGCAGAAATGGATGATGTAGTTTCGATTTTAAATATCCTTAATAAATTCAACGACTTTTGGTATATTTAAACCAAACTGCATACATTTAACAAAAAAACATTCATAAGTAAACATTTAGTAATAATTCAGCAATACAGATAAGCTTTAAAATAAGAATTACAACCGTTACAGGTCAGCTACGCGTTTAGCGACCGAATTCTACGAACGTCAAATCTCAAAAGCGTGTTGCCAACGCAGGGCAATGGATAATTCGATAAGCATGGAAGTAAGCACACGGTATACACATAAAACATATTAACAAATGTTAGTTCTAAGGATTTTTTATTTTGAAGGCATAAACATTTTTATGTCGTTTAAAATTTTGTAAAAAGGCAATAAATAAAGACAATAAATTTGTAGAACAAAATTAATTTAAGAATTTACTATGCTTTCATGGTACAGCATCCTGATTCGCAGGTTCATATCACGTGACTCCAAGTGATCTCATCTCAGGTAAACTATGCTACAAAAATCTAATTCTCTCATTAATTTCAAGTTATTAAATTTCAAGTTATCCATTTATTGTTCATTCTACATTAATTTCAAGTTAAATCTTAATATGGAATAGAAGTTAAATGCAAGAATAATTTTTATTCGTACGAATTAGCATACTAAAACATTATGTAAAACCGCAGTGCTTTACTTCGCTAGTGCATTCGCATTAGAATTGATGAATTTAACAATTTACTTTGCCTTTTCTGTATTTTCGCCTTCGGATGAGTGGTGTGATTGCATCCTAATTGACTTAACTACCGCCAATAGGGCATAAAATTAACCTATCTGGTAAAAATTCTATGCAATTTTATGCCAGTATTAAAAGAAACAATTAATCTGATAAGAAATGGCTGCGACTTGTTTTGAAAACGAGGCATAAAAGCTTACCAGCGAGGATATTCTGTTTGGCATCGGTTGTACCATTTTCGGTGGCTTTATCACTTGCACCAGCAAAATGGAAAAGTACCCTTTTATTTTTATTAAGTATGTATGTCAAAATATATTTTGATAAATGTGAGATATATGGTAAAAATAAAGATTTGATATTTCTGATGATAGAAATTTATTTGTTTTACTTCAGTATACGCAGTACCTTGTATCTGTTGGTAATACATTCTAAGACTTGCTTCAGATAACAGTGAATGCTATATTAAATTAATATTTATGATTAAATGATATAAATATATTGTCTAGTCGAATTGCTTACATTGCTATTGAATACATAGTGGCATATTATCAACATTAAATAAAGCAATAATAAATTATACTGTGCTTTACATTACTTACTAAAGCAAAATTTATAATACACAAAATATAATGAGCCCATTTTATTAATAATATTAATTTTCTTTCTCTCTTTTGTGTGTATGAAAATAAGAGACTGACAGATTAAATTTTTCTTTCTCTTTTTTGTGTGTAGGAAAATAAGAGAGTGACAGATTAAATTAATCTTGAAAAGACAATAGAATAATGAAGAATGCTAAATGCATGTGTGTCTTATTTTTGAATACCAGATTTAAAATTTTACTTTCTTTGTATTTGAATCTGAAAAAAAAAAACAGCTTCCAGTGCTCCTTACATATGCATTACTGATAATTAATGTTTTGTTTGAATTATCAACAATATTACTTAATGAACATGTAGATTATGAAATTTTCTTGAATGAATTTCTATAATAAACAAGATAGATATCTAATTGTGAAAGGCAGTATAGAAGATTTTGCAACAAATATTAAACCTTGGAAGTAATTGTGAAAGGCAGTATAGAAGATTTTGCAACAAATATTAAACCTTGGAAGTTTTAATTACGGTGGTATTATTTACGGTGGCCTTTGGGACCCTTAAGTGTCCTGTCATGCTGAATTATATTTACATGTATACATTTTAAACAAAAAGGTGGCCTGCATAAAGTATGATTAAGGACCTTTGGAAATACAGAAAACAGGTTGTGCCACTGTGTTATATACATCAAAACTTCGACTGAAAGATAATGTCGAACTGAAAGATAATGAAATTAAAAAAGCTGGTCATATGCATTTTGATTCCCAGATGAGTGCTTTCAAATCATGAGTGATGAGGATGATTAGTGGTAACTGGTGACAAATTGGTGGGCATGCTTATTATGAGAGTTCTAATTTTTTAAGGCGTGCATGTGGTAAAAATTAAGGTGTGGAACATCAGGACCCCTGTAGAACCAAAGTACAAGGTGATTATAATTAAAGTTGCAATTTCAAAATGCTTTAAAATTACCAGTAAAAATGACTTGATATTTTAGCAGAACAGTCGTGAGGCAATGGAATTTTTTTTGGTGAAGAAAAAAAAAAAAAAAAAAAAGTTCCAAAATGTGCTGATAGATGGCGTTGTCAGGGTTCACATGACTGTTGTGGAGGTATGCACATTCTTAAGACTTGATATATGCACCACAGACATAGTTGTAATAAAAATACAGAACACTAGCGGAAGACCTAATGCTTTGCCTGAATGCTTCATCATGGCTCACAAAGAAGGATCACACTCTGCTCGTGAAGCTTTTCTATCAGAATGCTGATGCTACGTTAACAGCCATCAGGAAGTTCTGGACATTAAAAGGCATAAAATCCAGCCCCATGACCATTCAGCTGACTGAGAAATGTTTGAATACCCTGTGTAAAAAAACTTATTTTATAGGTTACTCTATTTCTACTGTAATTTATTGCATAAAAAACAATTTGGAAATGAACGTGACTTTGAAGTATTTCTAAGTATAAAATAATCTATAAAAAGCATATTGGAGGTCTCTTGAAAAGAGATAACCGTGTTCCAGGGAAAGGAAATTTACCTGCAACTTTAATACTTTAATACTTCTTAATAGGCCTGTGTTAGCAGGAAATTTACCCTGCTATTAGAGGCATCTCAAATCACCCTGATTTGGAGAGACTTCACATTATTCCTAGTTCCGCTGATATGTTGGAATTATCATGCGAAATTGCATGACGTGATCCAGCTCTCTGAAGTAGTATCGTTCAACGCCTGGCTATAGCATTTTTTGACTGACTGCTGCTGTTGTTGAAGGAGTGCTAATGGTTGAGGTAAGGAACGTGACCGTTGCCACATGGGTGTTGGAAGTTTTAACTTATTGGTCTGGAGGAGTCTTGATTTGCTGTCCTGTGTCTCGTGAGTTGATAACGTCTCTTGATTTGTGGTGATGAAATTATACAGTACAAAGTCCGTAATCCGGACTCGTCAGGAGTTTGGCGATTCCGGATTAAGAGATTTTCTGGATTATAGATCATCAATTTAAATCTGGTTAGATGGCTTGCAGAAATTATACAATTAAAAATATGAAACCGTAATTTATGAAATAAAGAGCAATTATGATCTAAAGGGTAACAAATAAAAAAAAACTGCTTAATATTTTATTTGTTTACTTTATTAAACATTTCTTTCAATGTAAGTTGCTTCGTTTTTTGTGCTAAATGCGCATGCGTAAAGTATACAAAAAAAGTTTGTGGCTTTGAGGTCCGGATTACAGACTTTGTACTGTACAGCATTTTTTTCAAACAGTAATATAATATGAAAATTAAGACGAATAAGATAAATTATATACATTATTTACACTATATACAATTCCCCATAGCATTTTAATATTCGTAAATTAGGTAGGAAAATTTGAATCAATCATATGACTACACATTATTAGAACATTTCGATAAATAAATAATAGCTGGTGGCGCCATCTATTGAAAACATAGAATTGCTTGATATTTTTCATAAAAATGGATTGAAGTGCGATTCATTAACATGCTGCCGTCGGTAAACGGAGAAAAACCATGTTAAATAATCGCCTGCATTTGTATTGCACAGAACTCTAAGAAGACAGACGGCAGCTGAAAATTTTCGCTAATTATAATTAATAATAAAAACATATTTGAACTAACCATTTGCTACTCTGAAAAAGGATCAGATTATAGTAGCATTTGTCAATCTGTGGTCTTACTACACTTCCAAAAAGGAGAAAAAAAATTCAAATTAATTGAAATGCTACATTATAGGCTAAAAAACCTCTGGAAATTACACATGGTAATCCTCTATAACTTTTTTTCCCAAGACTGACATTTATGAAATTTTTCTCTGTTCATCCTATCCACTCCAGTGTTAACAACAAAGGAGAGATTTAAAGTATTATGACTGAAGTGTTTGTTATGAGCATAAAACCAAACATATAATAGTTAAAAGAATCGGCTTGCCAATCTATTTCATTAATTGTGGATACCAATATTTATTTAGGTTTTAGTTAAAAAACACCCAAATCCCATAAACTTGAATTATTAAAAGCAATTTTAAAGTTTTCCTATTAACCTAATTATTCAATACGTGTAAAATTAACTGAATTTTAATTAACTTCACTTTAAAAATATAAATATAAATATACACATGTTTTCAAAGAAGAAAAGAGGAAGTTAGTCTGCAAAACATTCTAACTTATAAAAGTGGTTCGCTGTTAAAATAAGTTTTGAGAAATCTTGGGCTATAGGATTATTTTATCCCAAATTCAATGTTTTACAACTATAGGTTTATTATTTAAATCTATAATTGTTTTAAATCAGGTTCATTTTTTAAATTAGCATGAAATAACTCTTATTCATTATTATAATTAATTATTGCTATATAATAACTAATTTAATAATAATAATATTAATTTTATTTTTAAAAAGGCATTTTAAAAAATTCAAACGAATGTAATGAAAGTTAAAAAAAATTACGAAAATTTCGCTAATTGTTTTGCAATTATATGCTTATTTTTTAACTATATAATTGTTTTTAAATCTTAATGTTTAATCAGGTTTGTTTCTTAAATTATTACAAATTAATTATTATGAATTATTATATACAATAATAGACAATAGTAATTATTATATAAACAGAATATCATAATGACAATAATAATTATTATTATAACAATAATAATCATAATTATAATAATGACAATAAATTATTATTAATAACAATACTAATAAATACAATAATATTATAATAATTAAAAATATATATAATAATTTAATTTAATAAATTAATAAGAATTATAAATTTTTAATGCAAAAAAATTTCAAACATGTAATGAAAGTTAAAAAAACAGAAAGAAAGGAAAATAGAACTTTCATATCTTTTGTGCCATTACTATTTTATATTGCCACTTGTTACTTGCAGGTATTGTTATTTGCAGGTAAAAAAAAGTTTTAATAAGAAGAAATAATATTTGAAATGGGCCATGATCTGGAAACTATTATATAAGAATTAACAATCGATGAGTTACAAAAGCTTCTTTTATAGGCATTGTAGCACATGCTTTGATAGCATGTCCTATTTTGACAGGAAACGGATTCTTGCATAGGGAACTCGTTTTACTT